ACATATGAAGCCTCAAGGATTGTCTATCGGTGAGCAATGATACAAGATCTGCAATAGGCTGTGCCCATTCTTGGCACAATCACTGCTGCGGTGCGGGCGCTAGACAATTAAGCTCGAGGAAGCTTTTCGAGTATGAGTGAAAGAGGGACCGTACTAAAGTATATCGCTTCTGACATAGTGTGCATTTAGGCGGATACCTTTGATTTCATGGTATGGATGTAAAGGAATCAGGAACTCTGTCTCAAGCTGGCCGTGTTCCTTCAAATTCAGCAATGGATTGAAAAAGGTCGCCCCTTCCGCCCTGCAGCGCATCAGCTTTGCCCCTTCTTATCTGCAGTCACCAGCTCAGGAGAAGTGCACTATGAGCCTTTCAGAAGATTCGACAAGCAGTCTCTCCGAGGAATCGGCAACAGCAATTCGTCTATACATTAAACAGCTTGAAGATGACCTCCACCAGCAGATCACTACTGAGGTTAAACGTGTTCTAGAGTCATATGAGATTTTTAGGAGCCATTGCCAGCAGAGCCTTCTTGCGGGTCTTCCTCCCAAGTACCGGCCGGAAGAGAGACCAGAAGTTGTTGCCAGGATCAAAGCACAATTCCCGTGTCACATCAACAACTTCTTCTACGACAACATCGCTGGAATGTCCTGCTCTGCCTTCCAATACGCGGGGACGAAGCCGACTCCTTTCACGATGCCACGGGACCTCATTTCCATGCGCCGGCCGCCTCATTCGAATCGCACTGTCATTCGGCGGAAAACGGTTGAGGGTCCTCGATTTGTGACCGTGAATGCGGTAGAAAGAGCTTACTTGGACAGTTTTGTCTTCTCCTATACGCTCGATGGTTCAAAGGCACATTGGATTCTGCTTTGTCCAAAGCAGGATTGCCAGAGTCGCAACTTCTCTCGAGATCCGATCGCTAGCGGAGATGCGATAGCACACTTCAAGCAGTGTGAGATCTCGGCTGTCGAAGAAACTACCATTATCAGGAGACATGGGATGCAAGGTGAGCCAATGTCTGTCCTATTTCTCTTCATTATACAGTGAGTGAGTGGCTGACCTGTTTATTTCTCTCAAAGTTGTGCCGCACAGACTCAAAGCTCGAGACCAGCCTATCAGCGCTCGGTGGGTAGCAAAGCACAACAAGAACATAAAAGCAGGCAATCACCGGTTGACAAAATGTTCTCGGAAAGCTGACAACGGGGCGAGTCCAGACTCCATGGAAGACTTGGACACAGACTCTGACTGAGGGTGTCTTTATGGCTGGCTTTAATGGCTTGGACTGTAATGAACTATGGATGAATGCGTGCCTCATGGCACGATTGATCATTAGGAATCAGTCACAGAACCTTAGAATGAAATTGCGTTGCTTTTGTTTTTGATCTCTCCCGCCTTCCGGGCAACTCCAAGTTAAGGTAGTGATGGATACTTGACCAATTTTGAGAATTGGACACCAAATTTTCGGGCTGAGCGTGGCCCATGTAGGCAGGGTACTACCTAGACATCGCGAGATGCACAAACATCGATACTTCCCCTTTACAGGTAGTTTCCTTTCTCCTTCTTCTCTCTACTTAAGTACTCTGTAATTTGACGAACTGTATGTGACCCACTTGTTAATACAGCCTTTGCGCCAATGGGGTTCGTTTCCATTCGACAAGGAGCTTAGTGTGAACGGAAATGCCGTGGCTTCCCTGAGGATTGTCGAAGCCGTAACAGGTTCTAGCCATTTCAAACCAGCGGAAGTTTATTGCATCTTACCCGGTGTGCCAGGCTTGCCCCAAAACGGGAAGCCCTATCGCATCCACGCTACCATGCCGAGTTCCAGATCCACATAAAACGTATTGAAACGAAGTAGGGATGAATGAGACTCACCTTTTACACTGCATGCAACTATGTTGACAAAATGATAAGGGGATGAAAGCAGAATGCATGAGGTAGACGGTAGTAGTGACTTCAAACCACTTGCATGTCCCGTTGACATATTATATATCTTGAATTATGCGTACATTGTAGGATAACCTCGAGAGCGCTCCTTACGTCACCAAGCTAAGTTAGATAGCGCCATATATGTATCAAGGGGTTTCTGGTGCGTCCGCTGAAGGATGAACATCGCAAATGCGCTGTTTTATGTCCTTGTCAATTCGATCTTCGGACAAGAAGTCATTGGAGAAGAGATAATGTACGCCCCATTCACTACGCCCATGTGAAATTACGCTTACTTTGAGACTCCGAATGCAGTAAATATTTTAGTCGGCATGCATGGTGCTGAAAACAGGATGCCTGGAGTGATTTCGTGGCGTGTATACGCACATAAGCTCAAGACATGGCATTCTTTTAACTCAGCCTATCTGTCCGCTTCTTTTTGTCGCCCTTAATTTACCCCACGCGAAGCTAGAAGCAGAACACTATTATCATTGACATGAACTCTCAAATGTAACATGGCAGATCGTTGCTGTTGGGCCGACGCACTTTACATTCGTTATATACTGAGGTACAGTACCTGGTAGACATGCATGTAGGAAGTAGGGTCAGTGATAAGTCGGGACATATCCGGACACATTCTTTGATTTAGATGTGAAACAAAATCGTGAGTCTTCAAACTTATCTTCGGGCCCGCGAATTGACTCGGATTATACGGAGTAATACACGGGCAGTGCACAAACTATGGAGTGAGGCCATCGCTCGCACCTGAATTACTCCTTAGATTGGTCACGCAAGAATCGCCTCTCCGCTAACCCTGGCACAAAATTTTCCTATCACATGCCTAAGTTGAAGTTGCACTAAGGGTTCGTGAACTCCTGAACCACACCCCCCCCCCCTTTCTGTTCTTTTTTCGTCCAATGCGACCATGTAAGTACTCTGCCTCTGAATGGAAAGAGTTCTAGGTTGGGCCTACGTCTAGATCAACATGCAAATCCCCATGCGAGATAGCACGAAATTTGGACAACAAGGAATTTGTCAAGAATAACGTGGCCAGGGAAGGATATTAACATGAGCTTTTGACATGTATACTTGGGATATATGTGCTTTCAATTTACCCAAGATTGCGGTACATCAAGTGCTCAAATAGGATAAGATCGGCCGATTTAATCAGAACTATTGAAAGTTGGGAATTTGAGAGAACCTTGCATATGGCTCATTCTCTCAATTCCTCTATCTCCAGGGGGCAGATCATCGAGACCAGGTAGCATCCGTGCTTCCATTTGTGAGGTAGGTATCGCGTAGAAAGGTTGCATAGCGAGGCGAAAGCTCTTTATTGATAGCTTCGTAGCCACAGAAGTACCAATCGAGAGATTTACGTGTATTAATACCTACTTCTTACAGTCCTATGATTTCATCATAACGCACACTTGTATGAATAGACAGATATAAGCTCCTGGCTTTGATACGAAACGTGGTTCAGGGCTGAGGCTACATTAAAAAAAATGCACCCAGTTTTCATCGATACCTTCTCGTTTTATCCACTACACTTTGACGTGCGGACTTTGCTGCTGCCTGAGTACGTCCCCAAGTGTTAGCCTATCCTTGTATTTAGCTTGTGGGCATTGGAGCGAGAATCTGTGGCCACAAGGGTCGGCTTACGAACGCACAAATAATTTCCGCATCATCCCTAAAGGCAGTACCATATAGCTTCAATGTTGAGCAGCTTGACCGGCATATGAATGGGTCAGCCGAAAAAGCAAATTTACAGCCAGATGCCGAATTCGGACAAATAAGAATGCAGCACCGCCTGCCAATACCCAAGCCATGAGCGAAGCCCCAGTTCGGCTTGCTTTCTAAAGCTTTTGTCGTGACAGATATCTTTATGACTAGGTTGGTGGAATTAAAACGCACTGTGGACACGGCCTGGGAGATGAAGGGGGGGGGGGGGGGGGTGATGTGGATTGTGTTGGTTATTGTAGGGGGGGAGGTGAGAGGAGAGGAGTGGGGGGGAGGGAGGGGGGGGGGGGGGGGGGGGGGGGGGGGGGGGGGGGGGGGGGGGGGGGGGGGGGGGGGGGGGAGGGAGGCACTTTCTTACTTTAGCTTCAGCACAGGTGAGCTGGTGCAAAGGAAGCAGACAACACATGGATGTTTTGAGAACTTGGAGCTTTTGAAGTTTCATTACTCGATGACGAATGCTCGTCTGCGAGGGCGGTCTTTTCTGAAAGAGTCTCGATTGTATGTGTATTGTTGAGATTGCCGTAAATCGCGCGGTGCCAAAAGTCAGAAAAGGTCACCTATTGCGAAACAGCCGTATTGATTCAGCTGAACCAGTCGGCTTCCTCTTCCCGCGGCACAGCTGGTCACTCGTAAGTGATCTACCATTGGTCTGCCCCTGATGATAGTAAGTGGCGTGAACGTAATAGCCAATTTCGCTTTTGAGGTCACGTCGGACTTTCTCGAGGTCTCCGGGACATGTCAGCGAGGCCTTCGTCAAGAAACAAACAAGCGTTCATTCTTGGCAAAGATCCCATTGATGGGTACTACCCATGGTCAATATTTACCAAGCTTAACTAGCTGCTGAGACTCATGGGGGATTAAGTATTGATGACATTTGGCACATGTACTTCCTGTACCCTGGTGCATGATCCATGCCCGGTGATATACCAGAGGCCTTGTCTTGGATGTGGGGGTTCTTCCAGCACTTAATGCTCTGGATCATTCAACCCCGAGTGTCCACGTATCCAAGCATTCATCTGCGTGGCAGGAAAGCTCAAGATTCTGTGGATCCCGCCAACAAATTCTTCGAGAGGTTTTTTGGCGACATGAAAGCTTGGTCCCTTGCTAGTTTGAGTCTGGGCAATATGTGTATAGGTTGGTTGCGGTCAACGGATTAGAGACAAGAAATATACCTGGGATCCAAAGTGCTTACTATTTAACCCCAATACCCCTTATGTTGATTCGAGTCGCTCTGTACTTTTTCACGGGAGCCACTCAGCTTATAACTTTGTTTACCTTCTGCTTCGGGATAAGACTTCATACTGTTATGTGCTCGAGGCCAATTCTCAAGAGTCATGCGATGTCCGGCGCTCTGATGCGCCGCTGTACAGACATGTAAGCTAACACTTTCGCTGTCATTCAGAAAACTAGATTGGTTAATAACCGTAGTGTTGTTGGCTTGGACTGGGGGAGTACATCTGTTCGCTTGGTCATTTGCTTCTTGCCCTCGGACGGTGAGGCGATTGTTCCAAAGCCGGAAGAGTTGTTTAACCAAAGGAGTTTGCAAACCCAAGATGGTACTCGATATGAAAAGGGCGCTTTCAACGGGTACATCAATATTTCAGGGACTGGAGAAGTCTACACTGGCGATGAACTAAGCCCTTCAGCCACACAGGTTTCGGCAAAATTCTTTCTAGGTGATGGTTTTCTCGACACAGGCCGGAACACAATCAACGACGAGAATTCCCTGCGGGTGGAAGCACTGAGAATCAAGGACAAACACTCTGATTTCGAAACCATCGGAAAGAAAGGTTTGGGGTTAATCCTCGACGCTGTCTTCCTTCGCTTAGATGAAGAATGCCGCAAGATGGAAAGACCTCTTAGGATTGTAGATTTTGGCCTCTCAGCTCCTGCTCACTGGAGTGTCACAGAATACGAAAAGTACAAGGCTCTGATTAGGGAAAAGTTAGGAAGTAGCCCAAGACTGCTTACTAGTCGATCGTTCGATCTCGATCAGATCTACGACCATCTCCATTTACATACAGAAGCGGAGGCAATGGCCCATTTCATTTCTTCCAGCGAACACATCGCAGACAGGAGACTTGGTACGGACGCCAGCCAATATGTGCTTTTTCTCGACTTCGGAGGCCACAGCATGGTACGTTCTCTTCATTCTGTTCCAGCACATTTAACCGCATATTCTGACGCGCAAAGAATGGCTGCCTTTACTACGTAAGACGAGCCGGAGGCAAAACGGCCCTTTTCAGAGCCGGTGATCCCATCGGTAAGCCTAGCGAGCGAACTGAGAGTGCCTTAAGGATGAAATAATTGGTGATCTGTGTGCTAACCTCTCTGTTTACAATAGCAACAGTTGGCGGCGGAGGCATGTGGGAGGCATCCGTTGGTGACTTTTGCACCAACCACACCACATCGGACAACGGTAAAGTCAGCAGCCAAGAATTCTCGTATTTGCTTCGCAATGAGTTCCTCAGAGAATTCCGTACGCGCCTCATAGCTCTTGGGAACAACAATCCGTTCAAGGAAGAGTCGCCGAATGAATTCAAGTCGCAGTTCGAGGACATTGATCTTACTATCGCGAAGCCGGCGAAGTATTTTTCAACTTCCAAGCGCTTCCACGTCAATATTCCGATCCATGATCTGACCAAAATGTTCAAGAAAGCCTTTCTTCAACCATTGCTTGAAGCCGAACGCGGCATCAGGAATCTTGAAGCTGAACTTGCATCATCGCAAAAAGACATCCGTGGCCGGATTGTAGTATCTGGAGGCGGCGCCAAGAATCAAAGAGTCAAGTACTATTTGTTCAAGTTCGTCGAAACGGTTTTCCAAAACACAGTATCTCCGCCTATAGTCTATCTGGATCAGAACCCGGAAACCCCAAATGAGTAAGCATGCTTCCATCTCGATATCTATCTTGACAAGAACAGTAATGAGAGGAGGCCGGATGCACTAATACTTAGACGCAAACAGATCATTTAACACTGCCAAAGGAGCGGGGCTGGCGACGGCTAAAGCACACCAGACAATCCAAAATTACATCAAGAATGGCGCTGCTTTTGGAATACAAGTGCAAAGAGGCCGAGGTGGTGGCGGGGATGAAGAATGGGACGATTTTGCTGCTATGATCCTGGCAAATAACGTGAGTTAGGCAAATGTCCAAGAGCATAGACAACTTTGCCGCGTGTTGATTTATTGACATCAGGCTGTCAGAGAAAAGGAATGAAGGAATCGCGGTACCACACATTCCAAACTGACGGCACCAACAGGTTCAGGATAGTCTGCGATCCTTTCGGCCTGCACCAGTCAATGTCCCAGACTGATACACAATCTCTACGCTATCTCGACTGTGGCGCGCATACCTATGACTTTCTGGACCTTTTCATGCCAAGTCAAGGGCAATGGCAGTTCCGGCTTTCAGTCCCAGAGAATCAGAGTTCTGAGCATGAGCATCTAGTCCTTGAGAGACTTATGGTTGACAGAGGCCGTGAGTTGTGGACGACATACGACAAAATCAAGCTCGATGTATTTTTCAGCCGATCGACATCGACATTCTTAGTAAGACCTGATCGGAAACTCGATAACTTGCACCTTGGTTTAGGCTTGACCCCAGACGGAATTTTTGTTGCTTGTACGGCGGAAACTGAGAAAACCTGGTTCGACGAGGTCCAGCGTCGGACGGATGCCATATGGGCGGAGAAAACTAGGGAACCGCCCAATTACGAGACAACAGGTGCCAAACTTGTTGAGTTCAGCTCGGACAGTGAGGCTTAGGGTTTTGAGAGGTATGAAAAGTAAGCGGAACGTGACGTATTTCTTCTAGATTGTAGAATACAAAATTACGTGATTCATTATACCAAGCAAGAGCGTAGGGTCCGAATTCATTGTTTAATAGTATAAGGTAATATGCAATAATGTAGTTTCGTAACAGACTACTTTGAGACACAGGCTGTACATACATACAGTCATTGAAAGCACGTGCAAATGAAGAAGTGAAACGATAGTATCTAATACAAGGATGGTATCATTGACTCCATAAAGACAAAGAATCTACAAAAAGGCGCTCTAGAGACACTTGTAACTCAATCTTTGAACGTAGAGTTCATACCTCCTGATCCAATTTCTATAGCTGTAATAGCAAATCAAAGCACTACATAGCACCTAGAGCGTGTACATGAAGTCAGGTCGCTTGTCTCCAGCGACCCACCTCTGCTCATCAGTCATACCAGCCCACTGGGCATCCATCTTGCCGGCTCTGCGGCGACTATTGGCTACTCTAAGCGCGAAGTGCATGAAGATGGACCCACCAAGGAGGAAAAGAATCTGGTAGCCCAAGACAACACCGTGGCCAGTGAGGTAACGAGGGGACTCGGCCTTGATGTAAATGTTGGAGGAGACAACACCGTTGAGGTTACCCCATCCAACGACCATGCCCAGGACGAAAGCGCGCTTGAGAGAACCCTCGGTATTGTTGATGACCCAGGAGAGGGTGTTTGAGATGGTCGGGTAGATACCAGCGGCGCCGAGGAAGGTTCCGGCGTACTGGACCTTGGGGTTGGTCGTGGAGATGAGCATGACGAATCCGACAATACCAATAGTGACAGTCGCGACGTTGCAGTATCCACGCCAGCGGGTCTTGTCGGCAATGATACCAACAGTGACGGTGAGAGCGGCAGCAACGGCGTAAGGCGGAACGGAAAGCAGCTGGGCCTTGGTGCCTTGGTGACCCATGCCACGGAGAATAGTAGGCAGGAAGAGGGAGAAGGCATAGAGGGGCACGAGGCAGCCCATGTAGATGACCATGTAGCCGTACGTCTTCCAATCCGTCATGGCAGCGTAGATGTGGCGCTTGTCAAAGTCCTCGGCGGTGCGGCCCTGCTTGTCGGCGATGAGGCGGCGCTGGACGCGGATACGCTCGTCGGGAGTCAGGAATCGGGCGCCCTCGGGCCAGTCGAACACCATCCACCAGCAGAAAATTCCGACAAAGACGGTGGCCAGACCCTCAATGATGAAGATCCAGGCCCAGCCGGGCTTGCCGCCGATGCCGTCCATCTTGGCGATGGCTGCGGCGAGGAGACCGCCAAAGGAACCGGCCAGAGCGGCGGCGGAGAAGAAGACGGCAGAGCGAACACCGATTTCGGATCCCTTGTACCAACAGGAGAGGTAGTAGTTGACACCTAGTGTCTCATATCAGCCTCTGAAATTTCACAACCATAGGTTCCTGTGAGATCATGATGAAATAGCGAGCTTACCAGGGAAGAGACCAGCCTCAGCGATACCGAGGAACCAGCGGGCCGCAAGGAGACCGGAAAAGTTGGTGCACAGACCCATGAGCGTCATGATCATGCCCCAGACGATGATGATTCCAGTGAAGAAGATGCGGGGTGTGAGGCGCTTGAGCAGTGCATTGGTGGCGGGCTCGAAGACGGCGTAGCTGATGAAGAAGATGGTGAGCGACATGTTGTAGTCGGTGCCGCTCATCTTGAGGTCATCCTCCATGCCGGCGAGACGCGCATTGCCAATATTGGTTCGGTCGAGAAAGGAGAGGAGGTACTACGAAGAAATATGAAATTAGTATATCGTCAATCGTATTATGCGCGCGCAGCAGCTCATGCGCTGAGATTCTAGGAGAAGTGAGTGAGAGGGAAAATCATGTCTTACAAGGAGGGATAGCCAGGGGACCAGCCAAAGGTCGACCTTCCACATGAGCTTCTTGTCCTAGAAAGGAAAAGATGAGTTAGCATGAGTGGACTTATTTCTTCTGTCGTCTTAATGAAGCGTGGAGGAGTGAGTGAGGGCTTCACGACCTCATCACTCATAAGCCGGGTGAGGGAGCACACGTACAATGGCGGCACGCTCCTCTGCAGACTTTCCGGCGTCGGGATCGGGCAGATCAGCAAGCATCTGCGCCTGCTCGAGCTGAGAGTCGATGGGCTTCTCATCCGAGCTCTCGGCGAGCTCGTGATCTTTCTTCCCGTGGCGATCCATGGCTACGGTATTGGGACGACGGTTGTGGGTAGTGGGAAAGGTGTTCGATGTGCGAATGAGATTTGCGTATGCGCACGAGCGCGTTGGAACCAGGTGTGTCGCTTTTCCGAGGTTTGTGTGTGGGATCCCGCAGAAAAGTTTGCTTCCCTCTTGCCTTTCGATGGTAGAAAAAAAGAAAACTCTCAATCAAGAGAGGTAGGATCCGTCAGAAAGGCAGGCGCATGAAATCTGGTACGTGGCTCGCTTAAATGGTCGGGTCACTCAGGTGTATTCACCAGTAACCGAAGCTCAGGATGAGAGCGGATGAGGGGAGAGGTTGAGCAAGACTCGAGATGTGGTGGAACGCGGCAAATGGGAGGCGTTGAAAGGAGACGGAGAGGTTAAGTGGGAGAGAGAAACACAGAGAGAGAAGATGTGTCCCAAAACAACCTGGATGAGCTTGAGGGGTAGATCCGAAGCCAACGTGGGTTGAAACCTTGAGCGCTGCTTCTTATAAATTCGACGACAACATGGGATGTAGGCGGCCGTTTCCTCTCCCTCTCTTATTCAACGACAGTCCTGCCATGCCCGGGACCCTCCGTGGCCGCCGAGTGCTACCCCCGATCCACTCACACTCACACTCACACTCTACGCAGTATACATCGCATACCCCAATGGGAAGGACGAAATTGGCTTCCCATCTGAATGGTTTCGTTGGATGGCCCGCCCCTCTCTTCCGAAGTACTGTGTAAACAACCTTCACCGTGGGGGCTTCCGACGGGAGGGCAACGGGAGTACTTCAAATTCGGTACCGGAAACCCTGTCTGCTAGTTATAGCTTCGCCGCCGCGCCGCCTACGACATGGACTAAGGCTAGATTGAGGTCTGGGAGCCTGGGAGTAGGGGGAATGTAGACTCAGGGAGTGCCTCATCCGTAACTGCGGGCAGGGTTTGCAGGGTTTATTGCCTTGGGCTTCGGTACGTACTACGTAGCCATGCAGTATGCAGGTTGCTGGTCGTGGTCTTCCGCGCAGCTGGCTTGCATTTCGAGACGAAGAGAATGGCAGGGGGCTTTGAGTTAGGAGTGGCTGGCTCTAGCTCAGAGAGCTCAGGTTGAGCGCTTTGCTTGCTGCTTGTATCTCCGACGTCTCGACACTACGAGTCGCATTTACACTAGGGAAAGGTATCCAACTTCCTCGTCCGTACGACCGATGCCTTGCCCCCGCCAATGCATGCCCAGAGCTCTTGGCACTTCTCATGAGCCAACCCCGGAGCGGTTTGCTGTTAGCGATTGGCCCGCAGACTTGCGAGTCTGGGGCTAGTCTGGAAGGCAGGCTGTGGGCAGGATTGATGATGGGGGTCTCGCAATGGGAGGAAGACGGAGGAGAAAGGCGGAGAAGAGCAAGAATAAGCCAGACAGGTGAATGGCCCGTAGCCAATACGACGATGGGAGGTGGTAGAGAAAGAGGCAACTGGAGTCGACGATGTCCAGGCCGTTTGAGCAACATCAATGACTCGTCGAGCGCAGCCCTCGACTTCTTTTTCTGCCCAGCCCGAGACGCCTGCGCTTATGCTGGCACCAGACGCAAAGACGACGGACAGTGTGCCCTAAGGATATTGCTCCTCGCTGGCAGCACATTACCTGCACGTCCCAGTATGTGACCCGAGGGATTTGTTTGTGCTACACTACTCACGGAGAGGATGTTCCCTGCAGGCTAAGGAGTGCTGGACGGCTCACGAACACCAAAAGGAAACGCTAGATTGACGAGAAGGTCGAGCTGAATGCATAGAATGTTCGATTCTTCCCGTTAGCTTCCCTGTATCCGAAGTATGCGAGCCCTTCAGGACGGGTGCTGCACTAAGTTCGAGCCGTCCTCCCCCAAGTTTCTTACAAGCTTCTTCTTGTCCTGATGGCCATCGCGGCGCGGGGGAGGATACGGGGAAAGGGATGGGGAACCTGTTGGAGGTCATGGTGGGCAACATGAAGACAGGGGTGAGAACATGAACGATTTTCGATGGACTTTTCCCTCGACATCATCTCTCTCCTACAGTGCCGCCATTATCCTTTTGTCATCATCGCGACCCCCTCTTCCCCTCACAAGTCTCTCCACTCAACCACCGACATTCGTGGAGGCCCCCGGACGAAATAAGCATAAGAAACAGAAAAAGTTCGGACATTGAGCGAGATAGTTGGCCAGAGACAGGGAACCAGCCTTCTCACGAACACCCCATGCCGCGCCCCTCTTTCTCTCTTCATCCCCCGCAATCCTGTTTCTAGGCAATTTTCCCCGCACGGAGAGGGAGTCGTGGAGTTTGACGAGAGCGCTCCGATTACTTTACGACTCCATTTCAGTCGAGGTCTTGGAAAGTCTTGGGAGGGGCCCGGCAGTGGAGGCGAGCTAATCAAGCTACGGCTCTTTGCCAAACTAGGGGAATTCTTGCCGACATCTGTGATCCTTCAGGCTCTTGGGGAAGACCTGTTTCCTGGTCTGCCAAGATCGTGCTAGAGAAGAGGCCAATGGGGCATCGCGTGCTTTTGACTTCTGTCGCGCTGTCATGTGCGATCAAGTCTCGTTCCATTGGGGTGGATAGTGCCCAGCACAGCCTGTATGTATTCATTTTCATCAGCGACATGGATGATGGCGGGCCAGCGGGCTTCTTCCCGCCATTCTCATTCTCCAGTGAAGCCGAGACCGGGCAGCACACCGTGGACGTTGGTTGGAGCTTGGCGGGCGCCCAAGCTAGCTAGACGGTCTTGTGAGCAGTGAGCTTGTCGATGAGAGTCGAGCAACACGAGCTCCCCATACCGACGGAAACCAATGGAAGGGAGCGATTTTCGCTAGATAGGCCACCTTCATGAATTGTGCAAGCCACAAGTCTCTTCTCTTACCGAAAGCTCGTAACAAAGGAGGAGACCGGCGTGATCTTGGCGACTGATGCGCCCGTTTCCCCGCCCATGTCCTGGGAACAGCCGCCGTCCAGGGCACTGCACGAAAGACGACTGGGAAAGCGGTAGAGGAGATAAGCTTTGCCGCCATTGAGACCGACTTTGACACGAACTGTGGCTCTCGAACTGGCGGCGCCGCCAGCCTGGGGCAACTTGGGGTTAGCTGGCACTGGGCAGCCTAATGGTGGCTCCCAAATGGAACAACGCGCGCTTTTTCGTTGGTCTTCTTACTTGGCGGGGAAGAAAGAATCTAGATCGCAATGTGTCAGGGCTCCTCTTCCCCGGATTTCCTGGTCAACATCAGCCCATCCCGGACTGAAATCAGAGCACCACCGAGCACCCGCAAGTTGTTCCGGGAGAGCCTTAGATTGGTGGTCAGCAATGTGCAAGTTCCAGGAAAGGCTTCGACGAAATACGCGATGTTGGATGGACCACAAAGGCTTCCGCAAGCCAAGCCAGAGAACAGGTCCCATTATCGACGTCCTCGGTGCTCTTGGCAACAGGCAGTCCGGTCCCAATAACATTCGCTGAGTATGGGTTTTATCCGATGGCACATCTCTCAACCGCATAAGCCATCTGCGAGACCACGCGACGAACGCCCATCCGAGTACGGAATGGCCCAATCATAGTCCCAAACCATTCTCGACGAGGCGAAACCCTATTTGAACGGCCGCTTTTGAGAGGTGAGCTAGAAGGTTCGTAGTCCGTTGACCGGGTATGATGTGGCAACACTGCCTCAACTCGAGAGAATCACTACAAACAGCAGTGCCGTCAAGGCAGGACAATGCCGTGGTTTCACAACGTCCCGGTCTGGTTCCGCGATCCCTTGCACTTGGTTCTCGAACAAGATCGTCTCCAGCGCCGTTCCCGCCTTAGTGGCTTGCGACCTGGCGGGCAACCTCTACAAACGACTCCCAATATCGCGGTCGAATGGAAGTGAAGAGGCTGTGACAACTTGCGCTCATAACGTTCAACTGGCATCTGAAAAAGAGGGTCACAAGGTAGTCAGACTTGAACCGTCACATGTCTCGGTCGCAACCGGCGTAGATTGCTATTTGCTAAACAGCCACTGCCGAGGGACATCCGCGATTCGATATCGTTAATGCGGATACGGAAAAGTAAGGGTGAGAGTAAGATGAGTGGTAAAGGGTGAGATTGAGAGCGAGAGTGAGAGTGAGATTGAGAGTGAATCTGTGAGACTCAGTGAGTGTGAAGCCTGGCGGCATTGGCCAATTGTCGGTCGAACCATCTTGCGCTTCTCACCCACTTCGTGTGAGAATGTGTATATTCTCCTCCTGTCTCTCTCCCTACATCTACCTCGATTTCATCCCATCCAAACTCTGTGTTCGAGTAGGTGACACAGACCGAGCGGCGGTGCGGTTTCATTTCCATGGCCTCGGAGCGACATGTCCTGTCCTGCATACAGTATGCGGCGAAAAGCAAATAACTCTCTTTTCTTTTCTCCTTCTCCTTACAGTCGTCCCAACGTTTTCTCCAGGATTTTACTCCCGCCACTGCCGCCGTGAAAATGAAGAAAAAGGAGAAGTCGGACACAGTACGAGATCTTCGGACGAGTTTCGTCCCAGTTGGTTGGTGCAAGATTTCTCTGCAAAGCCCCATCTCGGGCGTTATTCCCACATGAGCAATCTTGTGCGAGACGGCTTGCGGCCGAAAACGTGTTGTTTGCTTCCTTCTTGCATATGCTGCTGCAACACCACGGAGCCGTGTATGGTCAATATTCCGCCTGTTTACATGTGCTCTTATTCGACCGGCAACGATGATCCCGAAAATGCCTCGAGGAGGGTACCAAGGGGATGGGAAGACCGGAAGAAGCATCTCTTCGATAAGAATTTGCCTACCAAGAACGCAAGCTGTGAAAGATGCAACCTTGTTTCAGGGTCGTAGAGAAGGATGAGGTCGCCCTGAATATCAAATTGTTTGCTAGAGGCACCCGACGCGCGGCATGCCCAGAGACGCTGCAGGAGGTTGAGGACTTCGTGTGAGTAAATCACCCATTGTACTTTTTACTCTGGGATCCCTCATGCTTCATCCCAAGAGATCATGTGCGTCAAATAAAACGTGGGAAGAGAGGCGATGCAGGTGTCCACGCGCATAGATCTATTGCTGCGCCTAATATGCTTCCACCCGTGCTTCCCTGCCTATGGCAAGCAAACAGTAAGTATGAATTGTGCCCAATAATGATTTGCTACATATTCCTCATGAACCTTTCCATCTGCACAGCAGACGATTCCTTGATAGAATTGCTACCCCTGCTGTCCTTCCCAGCGGGCCAAGCGGCGCAGCTCGCACAGCAGACCCGTTAGACCTGACCGCCACGAGCCCATTCATCTCGACTGTCCAGAGGTATTCTTCGTCGCCCTGAAAATCTCCTTTCCAAAGATCCAATCGCCAAATGCAGCAAACCAAACACCACAAACGCCAGCTCAATTCCAAAATCCCCGGCCGTCTCGACGGTCGGCCCGATCCACCACATTTGCGCCATGCAGGGAACGAGGACGCCGAGGCAAGAGAAGCACGACCAAACGCAGCCACGCTTCGCGGCAGCCTCGCGGCGTTGTCCCAGGAGTCTGGATCCTACCTCGCGCAGTTGACGCCACAGAACCAGAGGTCGTCGACGAGCACCACAGTCCACGGTCCACGGTTCACGTTGAGGAATGCCGCGGACCAGTACCTAATGAGAGGGACGAAGGTCTCCAGACTCTCAATGAAATCGGCAGTGTCACGAATTCAACGAGACTTGCCACTGATGCCATCATCGGCGCATACGCGTCGTAAGAGACATTTGCGGACCTCCATGAAAAGGATGAGAGGAGGAGCTGGAAGTTGATGGCTATGGTGTATCCCTTTGCTGCGATGTTGCCGAAGAGCGTGGATGAGAGGACTATGCTTTCGAACTTGCTGAGACCTCCTGCTGGACCGACCACAGCTGACATCACCCTGTGGGCTGTTTCGTTCTCGTAGGCAGTTTCGAATCGAGGCGCTCTGGGTACTGTTCCTTGAATAGCTGCGCTGAGGATTGTGAGGAGGATCGCATGAACAGGGTGATCTGCATAGGTGTACTAGGAGATCCTCAGCCGTAGCTTGGTCCTTAGTAGGCTGGTTAGGTCGTCGTCAGAAGCGCAAAGGACGTGATAGCTAAAGCCAAGTCCCTCGCAACAAGCCCGGACGTTGCGCCTCGCATCTCGAAAGCGAATCTACCTCCTATGTCACCTATAAACTCTTCACGTCGCTAGAAAGACGAGTTGAGGATAACGCCCTGTTAGATAGGCACTCACAGGAGCATGTTCGCGTTCATCGCCACCACAAGGTCAAGATATTTACTGTCTTCTTAATGACAAGCTAGTCCACGAGAATCAGGGCGGCGCCTCGCACTTGAATGTTCCGGCCGAATGTGACTCGACGATAAGGGATGCCTTTCCAGCTCTTTCACTCTCCTCTCTGCGCATCTAGGATAGAAACTTCGCTTTCCGTATCGCGCTTCGTTGTGGCGAGAGGATGACTTCGGAGACATCGTTCCTTTGAGCCCATTCTGCTATGAAAGCTCGATTATACTTGTGATGGTCGTGGATTAGAGGTTGTGCAAGACAGTCGTCACTTTTTGACGAGGCCAAAGCTGACAGGTCTTTTGGTCATACTTGAAGGCCAAGTCTATCACTGCTTAAAGGGGGTGTTGAACCCGATCGCGCAGGGGCTTGATAATAACAGCCATATGATTGACTTGGACAAAGTACATGTAGAGGTGAAGGTTTTCTTCGCCAAAGTGTTCCAAGTGGGAGCCGGTCGCTAAGAAGCCATCAGCCTCGGCCCTTAGAAGCCGCACCTCGCATCTCTGGACAAGATGAAAAACACGCAAAAGACATTGTCAAATATCTCAAGGTCCTAGCCTCCGATATATCGGACCTCCTAGCGGCCACGAGCCCATGGTAGCCTATCACTAATCTTGAAACTTGGCACCCCGGATATGCGCCGGAAACATCACCGCAAGCCGGCCCTGAAGTCCCCACGAGCCGAACCCACACAGATCCACCGTTCAAGAGCCTCTCTGCCAATGTGCCAGTCCGCTTACCTAGCAGGCCTAGCAACAGATTACATCAATGAGTGCCCAGGCTAACTAATGCGAACCGTCCATAGCCTAAGAAACGGGGACTGGCCCATCTCCCTTCTCGGATGACCGTGCCGCGGCAGACCCGCCGCTGTTCGCCTTTTCCGAAACCGGCGCCGAAATATTTTGGCCGATTTCTGGGTCTGCGTGGGGTCCAAAATGTCATCGGTCAAGATTTTTCGTAGGCCGAGGTGGTATGAGTATTTCGCCAGCAGGGGGACCGCAAGGGGCATTTCTTCCTTAATTCTCAATCTTTCCCTCCGCCAAGAGAACCACAAGTCCATTGAGCCGTCCGGACGGTTCCATCACGGCCTCCACTTCCCCGATCTGCGGCCTCCGACTTGCGCCCCACGATGGGTGAACCTAAAACCGATGGCCCCGATGCCGAGACCGGCGTTGCGGCTGCTTCGAACCCCCAACCCGGACAGGAGAACCTCGTGCTTCCGCTGGAAGGGAATGCACCAACGGAGGCCTATAGCATCTTTTCTCGCACAGAGAAGTGGTTCATTGTCGCAATGGTCGCCGTTGCGGGATTCTATAGGTAAGTAAGGTCTTTCCGTGCCTCACATTGCCTACCCTGACATTCGGCGTAGCCCGCTGCCGGCAAACATTTACCTACCTGCTATCCCGAAGCTATCAGAAGCATTCGGCAAGTCTGTCGAGCTTCTGAACTTGACAGTGACAGCCTTTTTGGCGACTCAGGGCGTGTGTAAGTAAAAGACGACCTGCAGAAAAATGCCCCCTGATATCCACCCTACCAGCTATTTAGTGGATGAATACGACCTAACACTTATACCTGAATAGCTCCGATGCTATGGGGACCCCTCTCCGACCGCTACGGGAGGAGGCCAGTCTTCCTAGTCTGCCTGACTATTTTGATCGGAGCGTGTATAGGAATAGCCGTAATTCCTACAGACGCTTTCTGGCTCTTAATCGTCCTCCGATGCTTGCAGGCTGCAGGTTGCGCTAGCACAATCGCTCTTGGTAACACCTCCTTTTCTTCATCCCACTCTAAGGTATGTGCGACGCTAATCAATTGATTATCAGGTGCGGGTGTCATCGGGGACATTTCGACTCCCGAGGAGAGGGGAGGATTCTTCGGCACGTTCAATCTGGGCCCTATGGTACGTTTGGCCAACTATTGGAGCTTTGCGAAAGGTACCTTACTCTATCATGGTACTAACACTATCAGCTTTCACCCTGTATTGCTCCGGCGATTGGTGGTGCACTTTCTGATAAACTTGGCTGGCGCTCCATTTTCTGGTTCCAGGTCATCATGGCTGTTTGCTGCCTTCTCTTCATCCTTTTGTAAGTCACGCCTTGTTAATGAAACAAACCCTCGTCCTTCCTTTCTTCCTCGAGACCGTGCGCTGACGGCTACCCATCTCTATAGGTTCCTCCCGGAGACTCTTCGCAACCTCGTCGGCAACGGAAGTGTCTCTCTTGGTGGAGTTTACACCCCTCTTCTACCCGTAGTAGGTAGATCTCGAAGGAAGAATAAGATCCAGGGCAACAAGCCCGGCGTCAAACGATCAATCAACCCTTTTGTCATCCTCGTATATCCCGACGTCGCTATAACCCTCACATTCACGGGCGTCGTTTACGCAGTCAACAACACCGTTGTCACGACGGTTGCCTCTTCTTTTGCTAAAGTCTATCCTTGGTTGTCCGAAACCGCCCTCGGTCTGTGCTACCTGCCCACGGGATTCGGCATGATCGTTGGCAGCACTCTCACCGGCAAGTTCCTCGATTGGGATTATGCTCGTATTAAGAAAAAGGTTGAGGAATCCGATGGCGCTATCTTGTTCCCTAAGGAGTATGTACGTTTAAGGACCATGCCCGTGTTACTGGTTCTTTTCTCCGGAGCTGTCATAGCATGGGGCTTTTGCGTCGACCGAGGGGTTCATATCGCTGTTCCTCTCGTCCTTCAGATTGTCTGTAAGTTAACCTCATGGGCTGCATGTCCTTGATAAAGTCGCGATCCCACAGCTGACGCTTCTAGTGGGGTATACATCGATTGCTATTCTCAACACAACCATGACTCTGATGATCGATATTCTACAAACTAGGAGCTCGGCTGCGACAGCATGTGTAAGTAACTTGCTCTGAAGAACTATGCCAGAACTTGGAAATGCTAATGTTGTCACAGACAAACCTCGTACGCTGCTTACTGGCAGCCCTCTTGGTGGGTCTCATCGACAGGATGACGGCTGCCTTGCGCATCAGTTGGAGTTATGTTCTACTTGGCGGCGTTTGTGCTCTACTCCTACCCCTCATGTATATAGAAATGAAGGTCGGGCCAAAGTGGAGAATGAGGCGAGACTTGAAGTCCGTGGATGACTAGAGACAGTGTTTGGCTTTGATATCCATGCCTCATTTACGTACCTCGATACGGCACAAAAGGCCATCAATACTTCTACCAACAGTTATGCTAGTGCCCAACCAAAAATCGCATTTGATATCGCATCCTCCACATATAGACACTACAACAGCCTACTTAGAATTCAGATCCAGAAGATTGCCGTTTTAAATTTCCTCGCTACCATCCATTATCGAAGGCTTCGCGAGTGACCTGCAAGACCAACCGTCGTATTTGTTCTCAATACCAAGAGTAAAATAATAAGCATAAATTTCCATAGGCTAGGCAAGTGGCAATGCTGCATATCATGCCAGTGATTGCTCTCACACGTGCGCCCCTATAGAAGCCACCAATTACCACAGCTTATACCCATGTTGCCAGGCGCCACCCCTATACAGCCCCAGTTACAGCTAAAATAGCAAATATTTAAGGCCTTTTAAGGATGTTTAATGTACTTGCCAGTCTGAATGTGCCGTAACACAACGCGGACGGGCCCTGGGTTGCGCTTTGTACCTGTTCCTCTATGTGTGAAAACAGCCTCTACAACTTGAAGAATAAGCCGTATTGCTTGTATCAGTTTCCAATATCAGTGAATTTCAAGCCTGCAACGGGAACATAGAATAAACTGTTCGTTTATATGGCAGTAAGTTCGCTTTTACCGCTTTTACTACTGCGGCATCCCTTGTACTTCGACCTCAATACAATTTAACCCTCAGTACTTCACTTGCGGCAACACCCTCAATTCCTTTCCTTTTGGGAGGCACACTCCAAAAAGCCTAAGTACGTAGAAGATTATGGGCTGAAGCAGGATTAAGTAAGAATAAAACGATTGTATTAGCTAGCAAACTATCTTTCCCTCCTCTCAGTCCAATCGGCGGATTAAGCGCCGTTCAGAAAAGATGCCGCAAGGAAAACGCTGAATATCGCAGTTGTTCAAAGGCTGTCACCTAACCCGGAATATTAGGAGGCAAGATTAACATCGTCACTGTCATCTTCTGAAGGGGCTAGCGAATACTCGGTTCCCAATTCGAGTGACGACGGGGTGTGCGCGCCTCGTTCTCGTAATGAGCCACTTCTTGTCTCCATCGATCTTGTTGGAGGCGTCCCTGGATGACTGATAGGCTCGTAATCGGAATCAGAACTGCTATCATGGGTGTTACCAACAACTGAAATCTGTGCACCTGAGATTCTTTCGTTCTGCCCTTGTGATGAATCGCAGCTTGCCGCTGAAGGTGGTCGAAAAGGAAGGAGATGACCAGTGGGCTTCCATCCGGGCTGTCGCCTCTTCGTCCGTGGCGACGTTTCCGATACCTGTATTTGGCGTTTGCAAGGCGGACGATGGTTCTGTGTGCTGCTCTTCAGGCCTCTCAGCTGTTCCTTCACGGAGTCCACAGTGCAGGATGTAAGCGTTCCCTCTTCACTGAGTCGAAGACCACGACCTTCATCATCCACATCCGTGTCGAGCAAGAAACAATTTGAAGACTTTTCAAAATACATGGGACAGGAGAAAGGAGCCTCAGATCTCATGACTGTACGTGCTTTTTTGCTGGTCCCCAAATAGTCTCTTTGCAGCGAAAGGATCATGGCATCACCGTCGTAGGCAATTGAATGAGTGAAACGCCAGTAGCCTCTTTTGGGTGGAGGGAGCTCGAGGACATCGTAGCTCAGTGATGCCGTAAGCTCCTCTCTGCGTTCTGAGACTTGTAAAAACGGATCACACACGATCTTGAGCCATTTCTTCCCAGAACACCATATTGTGAAAGGATAAGACTTCGTCTGTATAGCAAATATATCAGCCTTCAATCCCCGGTAGAGACAAGTGAAATACTTTCAGTCACAACTCGAAGCTCTGCATCAATGACATCTGACAAAGTAAATTTGGACATACTGCATCAGCGGTGACTTCGATCTCTTCTTGCCAAAAGATTGCCTGTTTCGCGACGGCTGACTGATTTCTCTTCCATGCCGAGCCACCATCATTCTTCAAGTGCCCAACTTGGATTCCGAATGCTGCCCCTCTTTCCATGAACTCAAGGCCCGTCATGGTAGTCGCCGTGGCAATTGCCGCTCCTTTGGAGATATTCCATGAACTACAGCGTAAGTCAGCAAATATGACGTTTGAGAGAAGCTCTGGAACAGCTATCATTACTCCTTATCTCCCGCCTTTTCGTGAAAAAAGAAGGGATCATCGATTTTGGCCTTCCTGCACGCCTCCCAGATGTAGGCCTGGACGATGGAGCTTTTGCCGCTTCCGCCGGAAACTACAACTCGTACCCTGTTGCTGAGAGTTGCCGCCTCAGCAATTTTCTCCTTTGCCAACTCGATGGGTCGTTTCATCCCATCCAAAAAGCAGCCCTCGGCTTCTTCTTCCGAAAGATACACCGTCAGCGATCTCCTTGCATTCTGCGGATCTGTGACATGCAGCGACATCTCCTTGATCTTGTCCGAGCGTAACTTCTTGATATGCAGATGAAAGTTTTGAAGAAGCTGCGTCCGCTCTCTTGGAGGTAACTTGGATTTCAGCTTCTTTTCCAAGTATTCTATTGCAAATTTCCCGAAGGCTTGCTCCCACAGTTCAGTGCCGCCCCTTGTGCCTGGGCGAACAAGATTTAGCCACGGCTGTTCCACAGCAGCACAAACAGAGACAATCGAAGTACTGACTTACAGAATGTGTCGCCAACTCTATAGTAGCTAAACACCTGTTTCTTGCCCTGTACAACAGTAAACATGCAGCCGTTCTGATGGATGTTTGTCAGTATCATCTCATGCCGGGCGCGGCTTCGGATGTGGGGAGCAAGGTGTCTACATTCTTACCAAAGTGTAGCCGCCAAAGTCCAAGAAGACTAAAAGTGCAGGTTTGTCGGATATTCGAAGAATCTCATTGTGAAGGCGTTGGTTCCAGAATAAGTTATGTGCTGAAGCTAGACTTTCCACGTGGAAGTCCACATCTGTGTCGGTCGTAAAAATATCAGGGAAATCAGACATGACTCTCCTAATGATGTCTTCGTAGAAGGTTCGCTCCTCGTGCCCCCAGAATGCTGGGTAGGACAGCCCAACCCGAAGGATCTTGACCTCGCTGAGCACACGACCGTGCAAATACCCTCCTTGACAGTAACTTTGTACTTGCTGAAGAACAGCTCTGGCGATGGCGTCCATTCCCTCGTCAATGAGCTCTTGGGAGCTCCTGATTCCCCCCCTGTTCAGATTCTTATTGATAGCCTTGAAACTATTGATGGCGGCGGAATTGCTGCTGAAAAGTTCCTTGGAGGGGGTAGGAATTCGACTATCGTCCATTCTTTCACCAAAGGACACATCGCCCTTTCCGTCTAGATACAGAGCCGAGTTGAAGGCACCCTTTTGGTATCGCTCATCGTGCCCAGGATGAGATCCTGTGTTGAATATATCTTGTAGAATCCGCTCTCTACCTTGGAAAGTGAGTAGACTGACTCTGATTGCGGTTCTGCCCCAATCCCAGCCCAATATCCTGTGATCATCTTGTCAGAGGTATGGAAAGTAGTCACAATCTCATACGTATTCGTTCGGTAGTTTAGGACAAGAGCTCTTGTCACCTACGCTGAATGAATCTCTGGAGATTCCATATCGTCATAGAGGATACAATCGTCCGATATTTGGAAACTTGACGATAGAAAGTGTGAATCCAAATGCTGGATCAGAAACGAAGGGAGGTTGATGTGATCTGAGTTAACTGTTGAGGTCTCTAAAGTGGAGAAAAGTGAAGAGTGTAGCATAGGTATCAAGCAATATAGTTCGAATCAGCACTGCGATGTCAAAGCTTGCAATTGTGCAATTGAATATGGATATATATGATAGTTTCTGATGAAAGATTCATTGTGAGAATTAGAGGGACCAGCAGAAAACATTGAGAACTTGTCATGTTTGCAAGACAATGCAGCAAAGCTTTTGATTGTTTTCCTTGGGATCAGCAGCATAGACTACCTATAAGGGAGTCCTAATTTGAGACAAACAGATTAAATGTTTGCACGCAAAATTGCATGGCGTAAGCGCTTTCGAAGTCTCGAGATCATTAGTGAGGAACGTCCTTATTGTTTTCTCTTTGGTCTTATCTGCTTACGACATGTTTGCTTGCCTTCTCGCGAAAATAAGCGAATGCCCTGAAAATTCATTGACGACATTTGTTTGCGCGCGGCGGGCTGCATTATCAATATCGGTTGCGTGTAGTGAGGTGCAAACACAAGAAAAGTTAAGGCAAGCCTTAATTCTTGCTTGTCTGATCTTAAGGTACTTATATCATCTGCACTTTGAGTTTCCAAACCCTTCCTAAATGTGTCGCAAGAGAAACACCTCGCAGGTCTTGCCCCTATCAGTACATCCTCTTCGCCACCCGTCGTAAGACAAAACCTGCCTATTCATCATGGATGCTGACCTGCCGATGACACCTTCAATCTCTCGGAACGCCGCAGAATATGTTCAAAAGCTGACCCAACACTACAACACTCACCTCGAGGGGGAACTGAATCGGGGAATGAAAAAGCTCGTCAATCAATACGAAACCTTCAGGGAAAGAATGCGGGATAAACTCGTGTCCGAAACGCCAAGCCGATTTCCCTCTGATGAGAAAGGGTCTATCGTTGCTCAAATTGAGAGAACCTTTCTCTGCAACGTCAGCAATTTCTCTCTCGAACAGAGTCAAGGGCTTTTCTTCTCTGCCTTGGAGTATGCCCCCTCAAAGCGACCGATGTTCACTACACCGCCTGAACTTCGTCAGCCTAGTGAAACTTCGATAGTGGTATTTAATCAGACTCTTTGGCCTGTTCTCCCCTTCATACCACTCACAATCAAGATAGTCATCAGACGGGCTTTCTTCAGAAAAGACTGAAAAGACCACAGAGCCTCACTTGGAATCTCGGAATCCTTCCCCCCAAGTGCCTAGTCATGACCGTCTAGACTTGAATAAGGGACGCAGGCGGAATCATAGCCTTGAGAACTTGGAAGATACACAGACACATAGATCATCCCCTGCGTCATCGACCAAGAAGCCGCTCCAAAGAACGATTCCCAAGAGCGGCCGTCAGAAGCTTATATTGAAGAAACAGAACAACAAGCGCTACCAACGTTCTAGACAGAAGAATGTAACATGCACCTTGACGTCGTCAATCACAGTATACTACCCCAAGAACTTTGTCTTTTCTTACACACTCAATGACGACACAAGTTTCTACATTCTTTCTTGCCCAAAGATGAGCAAAGGCTGCCATGATCCAATCTTCAATAGTGATCCCTTTGAAGATGGTCTAGCAACTACGCACTTCAAGAATTGCGGCATCGCTTTTACCAGCGACGACGAGATTGTTCGTACATACGCTCGGCGAGGTCAGTGAACGGGTACTTGGTCTCTTTAATGTGTTCATTTGATCTCACATATCAATGCTACGTAGTCAAATCGCCACGGAACGCCCCAGTCAAGCAGAGCTGGGTGAAGGAGCACAACGACGGACTGAAAGCCGGAAAACCATCAAGTCCGCAGAGTAGGTCTAGTACTTTGGCATTTCAGATTCACGCTCAAGACTCACTCAAATACAATACAGACCCTGCCCAGATCAGTACCTGTCATGGTATCCCCGTATGCGGGAAGGAGACGAAGGGCAAACCTGGCGGGACTGAAGGTAACAAAGACTCTAGCTTCGAGCCTGAATCAGACAATCACAGTGACGAGTTGGCTATAGGGTCAGATGATGGCACGGATTGAAACCCGACTGGACCGCTTCATCAATATGTATACAGCAATTCTTTGTCTCTTAGCTTCCAGGAAACTTTAGTAGACCAAAACCCTGGGTACGGAGAACCATTCGTTCAACATAATTCTAGGCTTACCGGGTATCTGTTACAAATAAGACATATCTTCAAAAGCTTATATAGGGTTTCCAACTTTTCTATACGATCATCTTCTACGTGCGTTTTTTAGACGACTAGGAAGTGGCAACGGTCTATGACATTTAACCCAGGTCGTATGTAGTGCTGGGCTCTGTGAACACGTGCACCAGTGGCGTCGTAGCTCGCTCATGATACGCTCGGTCGGGGTTCTGAGCGGTCGGTCTGCCCGCACTGACTGTCACTCATCTAGTCCAGGGAAAATCATATGATGTCTTGGTTTGTCCAATCAGCATTTCTAGAAGTTGCTGCACACTTATCCAAGAGTATCACTTGTGTTGTACTACATAGATCTTGCATTTGTGGCTTTCATTCGAAGCAATTATTTTGCAAGGAGCGGCATTTGATAACCAATAGCCCAGCAGGATGTCGTCAAGAAAAGGACCTTGCAGGAGCATTGCAGCATCACCTGACGCACTAAGTCTGCCTTGTTCAGAAGGAATGAATCCGAGTCGAGCTGCCAATATAAAAACGCCGTAGTTCTCCTATAAACCCATTCCGACTTAGCTCTCCACCCAGCCTCGAAAACAGTCCTCATTTTGGTAGCATCGCCAAGACATCCAGAAGGTTTCCTAAACCATCCGCCCTCCCCGAACTGCCTGCTCCACTTCAATAATCTGACACCAACTCTCTAATATAATCAACACTCCCTTAAGCACATTAGATATTGTGGCACACTCTGTCCTCTCATTATACCCTGCCTCAACGGAATCACTCATTTCCCGGAGCAGGTCAAGATTCGATGGGAGGGCCAGGAGATGTAGCTTCTGGCGCCGTTCTACAATATTATTTCGCGAATTCCTTTTGCGACTTTAAAACAGGACAAGTAATGCCTTCATTTTGCTATGAATCAATTGATGTTCAGGTTTTATATGGATACTCCATCAGAAGGCTTATCTTTCGCCATGGAAACTTGTTTTACGTCAGGATTATTTACGACAATTATATTGCGCATACCTCCCAGTTTATTACTGCTCCGATACCCCTATCATCTTTGAGCGGTTATGTGCCTTCGGCCAGCTACAAATCCTTAGGGAATCAAGGAACAAGAGGCGAGAGATTCGACCGCTTTTTCATGAATTTGTCGACGCCAGATGATCTGTATGGCTGTCTTTTCAGACAGCCAGGTGCTTGTGCGGAGATAGGCAAGGTCATCTGGTGCGATGGTGGTTTCTGGACCTATGACAATTCCAAGGGACGTCCTGGAATCATCTTGGGCTACGATAGCCACACTCGCATTTATATAATTTCTCCCACGTCAACGAAATCTCAAGGTCGTACCGACACACACCTGTTCCTTGCCGGTAGCCCAGATACCCAAGATCGCGCAGACCTGCATTTTGTCGACGGCAGCAATAACAGGACTTATATGCCAAAAGACTGTTATTTCAACTATAGGGATACCTGGGCCGTACCTCACGATTGTGTCCGGCCCTTGGATAAAGGCACCATTCGCGTCGACAAAAACAGTCGGATTTTTGATACCCAAAACAAATTTGCGGAAGCCTAAGCTTTATCACCTGAAAGATAAAACTTGAATTCCACCATCTCTCCTCGGAAACAGAAGCTCCCTCCAGCCGCTGGCGCAAGTAGGATGTGCACACAGTCTTTTCACTTGAGCCCGAACAACACTACTGGGTGGACGGACCCTAAGCTTCCGAACAGGCTGAGCCCGAGGTCTAGGAAAACTCATAATTTCCACGAAGTGGAAGATCGATTGTTAATTTCATTCAACTTGTCGGTCGAACGGTCATACCCCGGTGTGGTAGAGAGGGAGAGGTTGATGGCGTTGGTACAAGTCCTTCATTTTGAGAACCTATCCTATTTCCTAAGAAACGATCAAAACTGAACCCGCCCCCCCCCCCCCCCCCCGAGCGGGGCCAAGAAAGAACACGGAAGGAGGAAGAAAAAAAGAAAAAAAAAAAAAAAAAAAAAAAAAAAAAAAAAAAAAAAAAAAAAACAACCCCCCCCCCCCCCCCCCCCGAGAGGTTGGAAAAAAAAGTTCAAGGAAAGAAAGGGAAAAAAGGAAAGAAGATAAAAAAAAAAACCAAAAAAAAAACGGAAAAACAGAAAAGAAAAAAAAAAGATTTCCTTTGTCGTTTTTGTAGCATTGGAGCAGGTCTCCCTCCTTTCATATTCAAGTTCGGCATGAAGAGATTTGGGGGGCCGGCTTAGGGTCTACCTTGATGTCATGGTGCTATCACACTGTACAAAGGCTGTGTCCGGGAGGGGCGAGGTCGCTAGATTTTAGTTAGGTGCTTCATGGCCAACGGCAAAATCTACCTTGTGCTCTCCATCTAGGATCTTGACCAAGATTCCGTACCTCTACATGAATGCCTATTGACTAGCTAACTCCAAGCTCAGCCTAAGCAATCTCAACAAGGATGTCTGAACTGTGTAAGGTTTCAATCTGCTGGAGAGTGCGAACTTACTCTCCCCTTTCCCAGATCATTAGGGATTTCAATTATGTACACTGTATGGTAAAGAGGAATGACATATGTAGTTTGAATCTTAGACTGTGGGGACCAATTCAAACAGCAGATGTATCGAAGGTGAATATGCTGGAGTATCCAATTATCAAGGATACATCGATATAAGTTCATTGCAGAGTCCGGATATAATAGTACGGGTGCTGGAAATAGAGACGGTGGAATCGAATAGGGACTTGGACAAAGTGATGTGCGCTGGTTTCGATAGGCAGACGGTCTGCACTAACCCGGCAGTATACTTTCAGCGTGGCGACCGCTAACATCGGTTGACCCTAGAAATACAGTGATCCCCCGAGTCACATCCTATAGCCCCCGAAGCATGCCCTGAACGGACTTTCTCTAGAATGTCGAGTTACCAAAACGATGTTCATACATTGACATGATGCTACTCAATTGTATAAGTACTTATGCAGTTCCCTGAAATTCAATATCGAGTACATAGTGCTAGCGATCGAAGCAAGTGATTTAAACACATTTCCTTCCGGCACATATCAAAGGGAAGGTAATCTGCTCCTGGGCTTTAGTAGATAGGCAGAAGCTGAATTACAGTGCAGCCCCATAGAGGCCTCTGACCCCAACCATAGAAGCTTAAAAACGGTTCAGCTCCATTCTCGCACACCATGAATGCACCATTAAAATCTGGACCCATTTCCCCGGGATAGTATACCCCGTTTTCGTTGAGGGTGAGACCTTGTGTACCGTCTTCGCACTTGAGCTCCACTGGTCTACCGCTAGGTACCATCGCAGGCCCGCGCCAGGGCACCACCATGCCGGAAAAGGAGGATGAGTCGCCGCCAAAGTCAACGCCAAGGGTATTATTATTGGCATAGAACATGCTTCCTTGACTCTCGGGTACCAGGATCACGGTGGCTCGACATGCGGCGTCGGAGACGTAGCCGAGCTCATAACCCTGGATAATAGGCCCATTGCCTGGGGAATCGGGGTAAAGCATGTTGGCCCATAGACGGAAACTGTTGGTTTCATCATCGTTCCTGGCGGAAATGGTTGCCGCTATTGCACCAGCAGCAAGAACGGTTGTTTTCAGGATGGCTTGAATGACCATTTCGAAGTTGTCTTTGGATAGAATGAGGAAGGTTGGCAATTAGGTTTCTTTGATAAACGTATGGACGCACAAAGCATTTGGTTACGGTCTGGAGTTGATATGATGCAAGTTACCGTGGAAAGCTTCGTCCTATTTATATTGATGTCCACCAATCTTCGGTATGACTCCAAGACGTGTTTCAATATGGTAATGTAACGACATTTTGGGCCTTGTCGATATTCCGCCCATGTATGTCTTCTGTTTGTGCCCGGATCTTCCCACACCGCTCGTAAGATGGTGGGCTTACGAGAGTCCATTCGACTGCAGGTCTGCCTATGAGGACCTCCGCAAGATATTGCCTCGGGAAGGAATTTCGCTAGTCGGACGCTGGCCAAGGCTGACTTACATCAATTGTCCACGATCTACCTCGTATCCTTGAGGCAATATTACGTGCATAAGCTGTAAGATCAGATATGCCTAAGCGAATTCCAACAAGGCTATGATTACCATGCGATCAGAAGAAAACAAATACGAGGGACTGTACACAAGAAACGTCATGCGCTTTCGAATTATCAAAAGAGGTGTAGAACGCAGCTAAAGACCAAAGGATGTCCTCTCTGGCTGTTTGACTTATCCAGCGGCAGCTGAGTATGGGAACAGTGGCCTCAGGAGGAGATCTTCTGAAGCTGATGCTAACTCCTAATGTTGATTATCGATTTACAAAAAAAAAACGTTTCGTCTTGTTGAGTGAGTTCATGGTTTCTGCAACCTGGTGCTGCTATGTCGCCAATTCCTCTCAATCACCTTTTGTTCAATGATTAGTTATGTGTCACTTTTACCCGCATTGCAGAGTAAGTATGTGAGAGCCCTCAAAGACCCGATCCACTGCCTTCCTCGCCAAAGGTTTCGACAGTGCGGCCTATTTTCCCTTAGTACGTGGCTACATACAACCTATAGTGACCTGATTGAAATGATGATTCATTCACAAAGTGCATTCTTGTGGGCATTGTGGACTAGATGATGGGGAGTGAGATGACAAGAATTTGTGGTGGACGCAGTAGGCTTCACTTAGATCGCCTGTATATCTCGTTTTGGAACTATTTGGCAATGATTTCCTTTTCCTTCATTCCGACTTCGAGGCCACAAACCATGGCTAGATTTCGCCGAAAAGGAGACTATTGGCGTCCAGCTCGTCAGGCCCGGGAACTTCGTCGGACTGCCTGAAATGCGCGTACCAGGCCAGAAACTCTGGAATCGTCTCAAAGATGTGTAAGCCGTGATCCAGCG